CTTATTTTTTTTATTTATTGTAGAGACAGGTCTCACCAAGTTGCCCAGGCTGGTCTCGAACCCCTGAGCTCAGGCAATCCTCTTGCCTCAGGCTCCCAAACTGCTGGGATTACAGGATTGAGCCAACACACCCAGCCTAGATTTTATTTTCGATTGAAAAGTAAGACTTGGAATTTAACCAGCAAGATTGTAGTATGCAAATTAAACATGACTCGGAAAGGTGACTGGTTTTCTTGCTGTTACAGAGCCAATACCCCACCATTTTATCCTTTTGATCATTCAGAGGGTAGAAGAGCTCTACTATATTCTCTCATTTAGAAAAAGCAAGCCGGGCTCGGTGGCTCAGCCTGTAATCCCGCGCCTTTGGGAGGCTGAGGTGAGTGGATTGCCTGAGCCCGGGGGTTCGAGACCCACCAGGGCAGCGAGACCTCATCTCTACAATAAATCAAAAAATCAGCCGGGCGTGGTAGCGCATGCCTGTAGTTCCAGCTACTTGGAAGGCTGAGGTGGAAGGATCGCCGGAGCCCAGCAGGTCAAGGCTGCAGTGACCGGGAGCAGCCACTGCACTCCAGTCTGGGCGACAGAGTGAGACTCCAACTCAAAAAAATAAATAAATAAATAAAAAGAAAAAGCAATTTAAAATAAGTTATCTGATGACTTAATTAGCATGTTGTCTAATTGTTCTACTGCTTCCTATCACTAACTTCTCTTTCACCCTTTTCTAGATCTTAAATAATCAGTAAATTTGTGTCTTCACAATTAGATATTGAATCATAACTTGAAAGAACAAAGCGTACTCTGTATTTTCTTCCACCTCCAATTCTGAAAGTCATATAAGAGAAAGCTAATAAAACAGCATTCGTAAAAAGAGAAGAATATGCAAAAACCACTCCAATTTGACTCGTTTACAGAAGAGAAAGAACAGTTTAAACTGAGCTCTGGTGTATCAGGTATAAGGTACTAGAGATACAACAGAAAATAAGACAAAATCCTGCCTTCAAGGAGCTTAAATTTTAATTTTATGCATATTATTTTTCCTTTTAAAAATCTAAGTGGGCCAAGTGTGGTGGTTCAAGCCTGTAGTCCCAGCACTTTGGGAGGCCAAGGTGAGGGGACTGACTGAGCCCACGAGTTCGAGAACAGCCTGGGGAACTTGGGGAGACCTGGTCTCTACAATAAATCAAAAAATTAGCTGGGTATGGTAGTGCCCACCTGTAGTTTTGGCTACTTGGAAGTCTGAGGCAGAAGGATCATCAGAGCCCAGCAGGTTGACACTGGGGTGGCCGTGAGAGTGCCACTGCACTCCAGCCTGGGTGATAGATTGAGACTCCAACCCAAAAAAGTAAAATCTAAGTGAAAGGTGAGAGGATTGCCTGAGCCAAGGGTTTGAGACCAACCTGGGCAACATGGCGAGACCTTGTCTCTACAAAAAAAAAATTAACTGGGCGTGGTGGTATGTGCCTGTAGTTCCAGTTACTTGGAAGGGTGAGGTGGAAGGATCACCTGAGCCCAGCAGGTAGAGGGTGCAGTGGCTGAATGCATGCCACTGCACTCCAGACTGGGTGCAGGGTGGATTCTGACTAAAAAAAAAAAAAATCTAAGTGGGGAAAATGTGTCTCTATTTTTGACAGATACAGAACTTCCCACTGTCAGCTCATGAAAAAGAAAGATCCTCAGATTTGGACAACTATGGTAATTTGAATAACATTCTGTTGTAGATTTTATTGCCACATAAAACAATGTGGTTATAATAATGAAAAGAATAAAAGGTCAACTAATCAACTATCAATTTTTTTTTTTCGGAGTTATGGTCTCACTGTCGCCTAGCCTGGAGTGCAATGACCTCAAACTCCTTAAGTGAACTTCCTGCCTTCGCCTCCCAAGTAGCTGGGACTACAGGCATGTGCCAACAGGCCCTTGTTAATTTTTTGGGTTTTTTTGTAGAGATGGAGTCTTGCTATGTTGCCTAGGCTGATCATGAACCTCTGGCCTCAAGCAGTTCTCCTGCCTAGGCCTCTCAAAGTGCTGGGATCATAAGCATGAGTCACTGCACCTGGCTTACAACGGTCAATTTTTGAGGGCAGAAAAGGGAGAGAAAAAGAATAATTTGAGGATTGAATTAAGAAGAATATAATCTGGTCTAGGACCTTAGCTTATCTATGACCTTCAGAAAGTGACTCCCATGATTTTTATTTTTACAAAATGATAAAGCGGGAATATCTACCACATATGTACCAATGTCTCTGTGTTTAGAAGATGACAACCAGTTTTATTGAACATCAATGTCCAATATGTTATATAACTCATATAAAAACATAGGTTGCTTCCTGGGTTACATATAGTCTGTGAAGATAAGAAAAATGAACATTCTTCTTTTATTTCTTTCAAGCCTAGGGAGATAAGAGAATAGAGATATCTCATTTATCCCTGAATTTTGTGGTTGCCTTCTCACACTTTGGGGACCTAAGAAGAAAAGGGCCGGACACAGTGACTCACACCTGTAGTCCCAGCACTTTGGGAGGTAGAGGCAAAAGGATTGCCTGAGTCCAGGGGTAGGAGATCAGTCTGGGCAACATGGTGAGACATCATCTCTACAATAAATAAAAAAATTATCCAGGCATAGTGGCACATGCCTGTAGTTCCAGCTACTTGGAAGGCTGAATCAGAAGGATTGCCCGCGTCCAGCAGGTCAAGGATGCAGTGGCTGTGAGAGTGCCACTGCACTACAGCCTGGGTGACAGAGTGAGACTCCGACTCAAAGAGGAGAAAAAGGTATTATGCTGATAATTTATCACATCTCCATCACTCCAACTGTTTTTTATTAGGTACCAGCAAAATGTGTTCTAATTATTGCCTTGGCTTTCTGGCCTTTCAAATCTTTCAACCTTGTCCTTTACAATGCCAATATCACAGTTTAAAAATAGGCAATAACTGGCTTTTTTATGTAGCAATCACTTATTTTAGCAGCAATCACTTAGAGGCAAGATCTAACAAAGTAGCTCTTTAAAGGTAGATACTTCTCAGCAGGGCCTAGTGGCTCAAGCCTGTAATCCCAGCACTTTGGGAGGGAGAGGCAAGAGGATTGCCTGAGTCCAAGGATTTGAGTCCAGCCTGAGCAACTAGGCGAGACCTCATCTTTATAATAAATCAAAAAATTAGCCTGGCATGGTAGCGCATACCTGTGGTTCCAGCTACTTGGAAGGCTGAGGCGGAAGGACCACCTGAGCCTAGCAGGTTGAGGCTGTAGGGTGGCTGTCATTGTGCCACTGCACTCCAGCCTGGGCGACAGAGTGAGACGCTACCAAATAAATAAATAAATGTAGATACATTTCATTTTAAAGTACATAGGGCCAGGCATGATGGTTCATGCCTGTAATCCCAGCACTTTGAGAGGTGGAGGCGAGAGAACTGCCTGAGTCCAGGTGTTCGAGAACAGTCTGGGCAACTTGGCAAGACCTCATCTCTACAACAAATCAAAAAAATTAGCCAGGCATGGTAGTGTGTGTCTGTAGTTCCAGCTTCTTGGAAAGCTGAAGCAGAAGGATCACCTGAACACAGCAGGGCGAGGCTGGGGTGGCATTAAGTGTGCCACTGCACTCCAGCCTGGGTGAGAAAGTGAGACTCTGGCTAAAAAAATAAAGTACATACGATAATACCCAAGAAATATTTGTTGTTGCCAGGCTCAGTGGCTCAGCCTGTAATCCCACGCCTTTGGGAGGCTGAGGTGAGTGGATTGCCTGAGCCTGCGGGTTCGAAACCTGCCTGGGGAACTTGGCGAGACCTCATCTCTACAATAAATCAAAAATTAGCCGGGCATGGTAGCACGCACCTGTAGTTCCAGCTACTTGGAAGGCTGAGGCGGAAGGATTGCCGGAGCCCAGCAGGTCGAGGCTGCGGTCGAGGCTGGTGGAGCGGCCACTGCAGTCCAGTCTGAGCGACAGAGTGAGACTCCAACTCAAAAAAAAAAAAAAAAAAAGAAATATTTGTTGTAGTACTAGGGTTTAGCTGAAGACAGACCAACAGTGAAAATAAAAATAAGTGTCTAAATTAGAAAGATGCACAGTAAAAACTTCTAAAAATAATTTTGCCATGAAATACTTTTTTTTTAGTTAGGGCCTCACTGTCACCCAGGCTGGAATGCAGTGACATGATCATGACAACCACGGCAGTCTCAACCTCCTGGTATCATGTGATCCTCCCACCTCAGCCTCCCGAATAGCTGGGACTTCAGGCACATGTCACCATTCCCTGCTAATTTTTAAATTTTTTTTTTTTTTAGAGATGAGGTTTTGCTACATTGCACAGGCTGATCTTGAACTCCTGGGCTCAAGCAATCCAACTACCTCGGCCTCCCAAAATGCTGGGATTACAAGTGTTGTGCCACTGCACCAGGCCAATTTTGCCATGAAACAGTTTTCTAAGCATTTCCCTGGGATACTGGTTTTATCCTATTTGTAGCACCCAATGCTACCTCCTTTAGAAAGCACAACTTACCTAACAAATTATTCACCTTTTTAGCCTTGGAATAGTTATTGAATGTAAAACAATGTCCAAAGATACTAAGATGTGTTCAGTGGACCTAAGAGACAAGCCCAAATCAGGAAAAGTAAACTCAGATGGAAAGATTTTAATGTATTTTTCTTAGATTTAAGTTCCCAGGTTGAATACTCTGTTCTATGCTAGTACTTGGTGTGTGTTCAGTAAAGAAATTTAAATTAGCACCTATATGTTGAGCTTCTAATTTGCAATGTTCTTTACCAATCGTAATCCTAACCAAATTTATTTATTTATTTATTTATTTTTTGAGTTGGAGTCTCACTCTGTCACCCAGACTGGAGTGCAGTGGCCGCTCCTGGCCACCGCAGCCTCCACCTGCTGGGCTCCCGCGATCCTTCCGCCTCAGCCTTCCAAGTAGCCGGAATTACAGGCGCTACCACACCCGGCTGATTTTTTGATTTATTGTAGAGATGAGGTCTTGCTGCCCAGGCAGGTCTCGACCCGCAGGCTCAGGCAATCCACTCATCTCAGCCTACCAAAGGCAGGGGATTACAGGCTGAGCCACCGAGCCCGGCTATCCTAACCAAATTTAAAAAGTTTAAATTAGGTGAAATAATTGATGTAGCCTTTATAGGAACACATTTAGATTTTTTTTTTTTTTTTTGAGTTGCAGTCTCACTCTGTCCCCCAGACTGGAGTGCAGTGGCCACTCCCGGCCACCACAGCTTCGACCTGCTGGGCTCCAGCAATCCTTCCGCCTCAGCCTTCCAAGTAGCCGGAACTACAGGCATGCGCTACCATGCCCAGTTGATTTTTGATTTATTGTAGAGATGAGGTCTTGCTGCCCAGGCGGGTCTCGAACCCGCGGGCTCAGGCAATCCACTCACCTCAGCCTCCCAAAGGCGCGGGATTACAGGCTGAGCCACCGAGCCCGGCCACCTTTAGATCTTAAAAAAAAAATACTATTCTTTTTTCTTAAGTGTTTTTACCTAATACACAAGACTCTCTAAAAATGTCTAAATTTTGGCTATGTATATACACATCCTATATGCCTATTGGATTTGAGCTAATGATCATACTGTTCTGTTCTCCTAGCAGGGCCAAAAGACATACATAATTACTGAATAATCACACCTTTGGGACTGAACAATGATCCTTCCAGTTTATTATGTCACCTACCCCAACAGTGACCACACAATGTCATAGTCAACACGGCTAAGTATGCAATATGGATTCTTTTTGTTGTTGTGAATCTCTATCACTACACCTTACATCTTACATACAGTCTTACATCTTAAGACTAAGATGACCAAAATACCTTTTAAAGGTCAGTATCACAGCTCTGGCCTACTGTACCAGGAAAAATAGCTCTGTTCTCAATCAGTTTCAAGAAGAGCAAATGGATTTATCCTTAAAATCGCCAAGACTTTCACAGGCAAAATACCTTCCAACAACTATGCTGGCTTTACAACAGACCTCCAAAGCCTTCAAGGTCAGAACTGGGTTCACGGTGGTAAGTGCTGCAGAGGAATTGTCTTCACAGCAGCTCTGCTTCCTTGAAAATGGTCAGAGGGAAAGGCCTTCGGCCAACACCAGTACTTTGTCCAAGGGAGTCCCTAAGTTAATATTAATCCAGCTCAAGTTTCTTTGGCCAGGACAAGTACATAAGCCACTGCCCAGTTTTCTATTTACCTCTAGTTTAACACACCAGAAAAAACTGTCAGCACTGAAATACCCTCGGTGCCCTCGGCGGGATCCCGACGCAGTCCCGGGTCGGGCAGCAGGTGTGCAGCTGGCTCCAGGAGGATCAGGGTGTCAGGGTCCCTTCCTCCTCCAATTTCCCGCCGTGGAAGGCAGAAAGTGGCACCAAGTACCAGGAAGCCAAGGCCAGAGTATTTCTCCTACCCCCAGATGCTCGTGTCCTTTCCCCTCATCCCAGCCTCCCGCTGACACAGGTCGACAACCTCCGCTCCTCGCCAGGTCCCCACCCGGCCTCGAGTCCGAGTCATCCCTGAGTCCGCGCAACCTGCCTTCCTTCGCCCTCGACCCTCGGGACAGCAGTGCCCAGCCCCGCGCGATGAGGAACTGAGGCTCAGGCCTACTCATATCTCCTACTAGCCCTATTGCGGGATTACGCACAGAAAAGCCGGGGAGCACCCCCAACCTTTCGAAAGCCCTGACCCCAGAGCAGCAATCCAAAGTCTCGCGATAGGAGGCAGGCCCCGCCCGGCGCTCCCGGCTCC